ATATACACACATATATATATACACACATATATATATACACACATATACATACATACATATACATACATATACATACACACATATACACACACACATATACACACACACACACACACACACACACACACACACACACACACACACACACACACGCATGCATACATGCATACATGCATACATGCATACATGCATACATGCATACATGCATACATGCATACATACATATATATATACACACATACATATATATACACACATACATATATATACACACATACATATATATACATACATATACATACATATACATACATATACATACATACATACATACATATATGTATATACACACACACACACACACACACACACACACACACTTTGTAATATGATATTTTTCTATAAACTGAACGTGAACATGAAAAAGACAAGACTTAGACTGCCTTGTCAGCAAGGCAGTGACAGCAGCCATTTAACTCCAACATCATGGATCAATTCCAGCCTTGTGACCATTGTTTGATGACGTTCTCCTCTCTCTCTAGTCTGGGTATCCACACTGTCAAATAACGGCAGAAATGCCAAACAAATAATCTTAAAACAACCATGTGTGTAGAGCGTGTCCTGATGCACCTGCACAGTGAAAGCACACGTAGTTCAGATCTGAGACAGATTGAGATTCTCAACAGTGGAATAACCGGTCGGGTTGCTTTTGAGTTTCTGTTGTGCTTCTTGTCACACTAACGAGGCTTCACCTGGTAAGTGAGTCACGAACAAAGTCTAAACACACAGAATCACCATGGCAACGACGTGCAGACAGGAGGTGAGGGACACGGTGTGTGTTCATGATGTTCACCAAAGATCAGGATGTGACAAAAAAGCCACAAAAATAATACAATTCTGAAATGGTTTATGATAAGAAACTCAAAGTGGACAGATTTGTACAAACATATTTATGGAAGTTATTACACATCACGAGGTACGAATGTTATTACCAAAAGACACAGAAATGCTTTCTCGTGATCCATTGAACGATATCATCTTTAACCAACTATGAGAACATATTACATTAGAATGACAAACTCCTGTTTCACCACAATCAGAATGATCTCACTGTTGTTTAAGAGTCAGAGGTTCGCTGATGACAGAGAGTGCCGTGGAATGAATAAGTGGAACAAACTGTTGCTGACGTAGGCATCAGGTGATGGGTTGTGGTGGAGGTGGTGGATGGAAATCTTGAGGAGAAACGTTGGCATAAGGGACACGCCCCTTACCTCTTTTATTCAAATGCTACTTCAGATCACTTTTAATAATGGATCCTGTTTTGTGTCTCTAAAACAGTAAAGGTCAAGTCTGTTACAGGAAGTGCTTCCATAAAGCACTTCCTAAAGCAGTTTTCTTCCCTATTAATAGCCCTTCCCTTGTCACCCACGGTATATTATTGGGGGATATTTATATTTGTTTACAGGGAATGAAAACTCTATTTTCACACGGGACTCTGGTATCCTGTCAGACAGACAGGTCTCTGTAAAACACAGCAGGTTGCTCTGTGGGAATCGTATCTCAAGTAGGCTGAAAACTCATCCACCTTATTAGCCAAGGAGCGGACATTCCCCATCATAGTGGAGTGTAGCACAGGTTTGTACCCCCGCCGACTGTTCCTGATCTGGACCCCAGCTCTGCGGCCTCTCTTCCTGGTCCTGGGCTCGGTATCCGACCAATCAAAGTCCACATCCTGTCCACCTGACGTAGGAGGCCGCAGCTGAAGAAGCTCTTGCCGACTATAGGTGATGAAAAGTGGGCCTGGTTCGCTCCCGAAGTGTTTGAGCGGCTCTCCAAACAATGCAACAAAGCCACAGGAGGCAAAAGTGCGATTGTTAAGTGTTCTCGTCGTCAAAGTTTGATCACGCTGATGATCATGAATCAGAAGGTATCGAAAACAATAAAAACGCATCAGAAGTATAACCAGAGTCGTCGGCAAGGGGGCGGCACCTCTATGTTACTCTCCTCCAATCACAAGCACGCATTTGCCCACTGAAAATCTGCATAAGCCAAACCGGCCAATCAGGACGTGTCTACGTGATCACATGCGGACTCCACAGTAAATAAGTCAGCACACCCCTCTGCTTCTCTTCAGTGAAAGGCAATCTGCCCACTGACTGCTCATCTCTGCAAATGGAGTCATCGGCAAAACCTCATCAGTGCCCGTCATGTCCCGGCCTCACAGCTCGGACAGATCTTCATGCCTGCTTGGGGTGCCTTAGCATACACCACACAGAGTGTTCAGCAGCCACCGACCTGCCAAGTCTGAAGAGCGTTGCCCAAGATTCGATGCCAGAAGCAGAAGGATCATTTCAGACGCTTTGCTGTGATGAGAGCGAGCCAGAGCCCGAGACAGACAAGGTAGAGATCCTCACCCCAACCACAACGCTTGGCCACTGCCTCCGGTCATCCCTGCCAAGACATCGGCTTCGTCTGCAAATAATGATGATGACAATATGTCATCAGTATCCACAACATCAGCATCCCAAGTCCACCGCCAACATCTCTCCGTGGGGACATCCTGCTAGTGATGAAAACTAGGGCGGGATGTCCCACAGCTCGTCGCTCGTCCTCGAATACAGTTTTACGAGTAGTGGCAATGCAGCTGCGTGTTAACAGAAGGGATGGATAGGGCACCGAGACTGGTTTATTTTCTCCAGTTCTACAGCGCTCATCCTCTGCTTATCCAGCAGAAATCCAGGACCTGTTACAGAAGCAAGCTGTGTCTTTCGTCCCCATTCACGACAGAAAGAGAGGGTTTTACCAGTGTATGTCCGCAAGACATTCGGTTTGTTAACCATCAACCATGAAGTTAGTGGAATTGGTTTAGTCGGCCAATTGCTTGCGAGGTTACCCTCAGATCAAACCCCTACATTGTACCCAAGAACGTGAGGAGTCCTTTCAGGCTGAAGGTTATACTGCTGGATGCTTTTCATCTTCCACCCCATGTGGGGGACAGGGAGGGAAGTTAAATCTGCGATTCCCAGTTTGTGCATTAGCATGTTATGTTGAACGTACGGTCCCCATCAGCCACGCTGAACAGCTGTTTGTGTACTTCAGGGATGGCATCCAAAAAACACCCAGAGGGATGGCTTTGTCAACACTTCCGTAGGCTGTGCCTGCGGTGTATGAATGTTAGTCCTGATGGGCAGGTGGCACCTTGCATGGCTGCCCCTGTCATCAGTGTATGAATGGGTGTGAATGGGTGAATGACCCAGCACTTCAGTGGTTGTATGACTAAAAAGGCACTATAGGAGTACAAATCCATTTACATCCAGCAGACACAGATTAACACAAGCATTCATTAGAAGCCGTTTTGGTCTCCACCAACTCCTGAGAGAAAATGACTTTTTAGCTACAAGATACTCCACTATGTTCCCCAGCTAGTATCCAACTGTCTGTCTGCAGTTTGATGCGGAAGACGTAGTGTACAGTAGCTTTATCAAAGCTTTACCCTGAATACAGCTGCTGCTAATGAGAGCAAAACAGTTCAACTGTGTCTCCTTAAACCAAAACAATGAGCTGACAAAGACTAAAATGTTCCTCACAGATGAGAGGAACTGCGGAGTGGTGATCATTGCCTGTCGGTTATTTCAAATAAGTGACCTCACTTATATTACACATGGTCATTGGATCCACTGTTATATTGATTAGAGCAGCTTTTAGGTGTTGCGATTTGAATGTTGATCTAAAATTGTCAAATTCAAAGTACTGCCTCTGCATAATAACTTTGGCTGGTTTACTTTAGTGCAATATTTTACACAACACTCATAAGCCCAGTGAATGATGGGATAAGAGCCCCATCCTCCCGGCTGCTGAACCACAAGACCAGTAGAGTAAATATCAACATGCCTGTCAACACACACACACACACACACACACACAAGAATGTGCAGGGACAAGTGTTCATCCCATCACTCCACGCTCCTACCTGGTATGAGGAACTTGAAGGGGAAAGTGTGTTCTCCCTGTTTCATGGTTCCTGTAGGAGACAAAGAGAGCACAGATAGATCAGCTGAAGCAGCAACAATCACTCTGCTGTTTCCCACCAGCCAGGTATGCCTCCGGGCTGCATGCAGTATACACAGTGGCAAATGGGAACCTTCCACTACAGGCCTCACACTTCAAATATTTTTCTCACTTACTTTTTAACCTTTACATTATGGAAAATAAAACTATTGTTTCGTTGCCATCAAATGTGTCTAAGATCTGTGAGTGGATCGTGTTTCACCCTCTGTGGTAAACCAACGCACAAGCAAATATGTAAGGCTAGCTGAGCGATCTGATCTGTGACTGGACACTTGCCTCTATATGAAGTTCATATTATGAACAGTTACGATGTGGTAAACTGCACTTATCGAATACTAACAGCAGGATGGATCAAACCCGTGGATGAACAGATGGATCAGTTTTGTAGCAAGCACTCAATTGTTCGGCTTCGTACCTTTATCTGCAACAGAGATGGTGCTGTTGAAGTACTGCTCCTCCTCAGTCCATGCGGTGTCATTGACCTTACTGGTGATGCCACAGAAACCGTTGCAGTTCACTTTGATGGCTGCAAACAAGAATACACAGATTTGTAATGTTAGCCACAGAGCCAAGCTAAGCAGCCGCACCATGAAACACTTCCCACAAACTGTGCAACTAGAGCATTGGGCCTCTACGTCCTACAGTGTCGTCTCTGCCATAGAGGCTAAATAATGACCACGATGAGTCTTTCATGAAGTTTACCGTGATGATATGCTGTGTAATACACATACAAGAATATAAAATACTTGACAAGTATCGCACACAAAGCGTTGTGATCAGGTGCTGGTTCACACTCTGGCTCCACATCCTCTCTTTGCTGTGGGAGCCACTGGGCCCTCACGCCTTCTATCAACAGAGTGAAACACTTTCTCTTGTTTTCATGGACCAACAAAAAGCCAACATTCATTTCATTTTAGTTTTCACCTGATGGATTTACTCCAATGTGAAGACAAGAGACCCAACACTGATGCTGGGTTGGGGTCTCAGAGCAGGAAGTCAAGTCCCTCCACAGCAGACAGGAACCCTTTCTGTTCATGCACGCTGTTTAACAACAGAAACTATTGCTACACGCTACAATAAGATCGGTGCAATACGATACATTACATATATGCAATATGTTGCAATACTCCGTTTACTGTTTTTACTGAAAATGTAAAAATATAGCTGAAAATACAACTTGCTGTATATTATAATGCAATACATCACATATTCCATCAAAACTACTTCAGAAGGTATTTGCACTAGTCACTCAGCAGAGAACGCACTCAACCAAAGATGTATACGTCATGTAAATAAAGTGCATATTGTATTATCATCTTTACTAACATGCCACAACATTTGAAGATAAAATACATACTGAATTATGTTCTTATTGTGTCGCTGACCAATCTTCATTTACATGTAGATGCAATTTAAAGGACTTTTTTTTTTTTTAATACACATACATACATACATACATACAGTACAGAAAGTATTCAGACCCCTTTAAATTTTTCACTCTTTGCTTCATTGCAGCCATTTGGTAAAATCAAAAAAGTTCATTTTATTTCTCATTAATGTACACTCAGCACCCCATCTTGACAGAAAAAAACAGAAATGTAGAAATTTTTGCAAATTTATTACAAAAGAAAAACTGAAATATCACATGGTCATAAGTATTCAGACCCTTTGCTCAGTATTGAGTAGAAGCACCCTTTTGAGCTAGTACAGCCATGAGTCTTCTTGGGAATGATGCAACAACCTTTTCACACCTGGATTTGGGGATCCTCTGCCATTCTTCCTTGCAGATCCTCTCCAGTTCCGTCAGGTTGGATGGTGAACGTTGGTGGACAGCCATTTTCAGGTCTCTCCAGAGATGCTCAATTGGGTTTAGGTCAGGGCTCTGGCTGGGCCAGTCAAGAATGGTCACAGAGTTGTTCCGAAGCCACTCCTTTGTTATTTTAGCTGTGTGCTTAGGGTCATTGTCTTGTTGGAAGGTGAACCTTCGGCCCAGTCTGAGGTCCAGAGCACTCTGGAAGAGGTTTTCTTCCAGGATATCTCTGTACTTTGCCACATTCATCTTTCCTTCAATTGCAACCAGTCGTCCTGTCCCTGCAGCTGAAAAACACCCCCATAGCATGATGCTGCCACCACCATGTTTCACTGTTGGGATTGTATTGGGCAGGTGATGAGCAGTGCCTGGTTTTCTCCACACATACCGCTTAGAATTAACGCCAAAAAGTTCAATCTTGGTCTCATCAGACCAGAGCATCTTATTTCTCATAGTCTGTGCGGGCTATGCGGGCTTTCATATGTCTTGCACTGAGGAGAGGCTTCCGTCGGGCCACTCTGCCATAAAGCCCCGACTGGTGGAGGGCTGCAGTGATAGTTGACTTTGTGGAACTTTTTCCCATCTCCCTACTGCATCTCTGGAGCTCAGCCACAGTGATCTTTGGGTTCTTCTTTACCTCTCTCACCAAGGCTCTTCTTCCACGATTGCTCAGTTTGGCTGGACGGCCAGGTCTAGGAAGAGTTCTGGTCGTCCCAAACTTCTTCCATTTTAGGATTATGGAGGCCACTGTGCTCTTAGGAACCTTGAGTGTTGCAGAAATTCTTTTGTAACCTTGGCCAGATCTGTGCCTTGCCACAATTCTGTCTCTGAGCTCCTTGGGCAGTTCCTTCGACCTCATGATTCTCATTTGCTCTGACATGCACTGTGAGCTGTAAGGTCTTATATAGACAGGTGTGTGCCTTTCCTAATCAAGTCCAATCAGTTTAATTAAACACAGCTGGACTCCAATGAAGGAGTAGAACCATCTCAAGGAGGATCAGAAGAAATGGACAGTATGTGAGTTAAATATGAGTGTCACAGCAAAGGGTCTGAATACTTATGACCATGTGATATTTCAGTTTCTTTTTTAATAAATTTGCAAAAAATTCTACATTTCTGTTTTTTTCTGTCAAGATGGGGTGCTGAGTGTACATTAATGAGAAATAAAATGAACTTTTTTGATTTTAGCAAATGGCTGCAATGAAACAAAGAGTGAAAAATTTAAAGGAGTCTGAATACTTTCCGTACCAACTGTACACACACACACACACATCGCTACACCATTGTCAAAAGAATTGCGTGACAGTAAGCTATATGGATATCTTTGCACAGCCCTGATTAACTCCATTAAGTGTAAAAACAATATTAAAGGAACGCTGAAACAGTTCTCTAGTAACCTCATATCCATTGTATCGGATTTGTAATGCAATGTCAATATTTGCCCAGTAATGTCTCGGGGCCCAACCCAACTGATAATCCATCAGTGAGTCAAACTCTTGTTCGAGTCCGTTTCATGTGTGACGAGAGTCGGACCAGCTCTACCTGAAGAGGAATGTAACCAGTCAGACAGGAACTCTTAGACACACAACAGCTGCTCTCAGCAAGCCAACGAGAAAACAGAGAGAGACGCAACACTCCACAATGATCTCAAGGAGAAAGAGTCACTTAATAATCAGGGCAGAATGGGCTCCAGCACATGTTCAACAGGTGGGAACCTGGTAAATGGCTGAATGTACGGAGTGCCAGAGGTCAGAATCGAGCAGTCAATGAGTGGAACCACCTTCAGACAGAAACATCGTCTGTGCCAGTACGTGAACGCAGATGAAGACACCAGACACAGCCGTTACAAACGTACAACCCCGAAGAGCATCACACAGAGAAAAGCACAAAGCTTAAGATGTTGGACTGCTCATTAACAGAGCACGTACACATGGAGGAACACCAGCAGAGAGCTGCAGGAGACTCACGTAGAGCATCACGTCACAGAGAGGGATGTACACAACATCCTCTGTCTCCACAGTTTACATTTTAGATTAAATCTGATACTTTTTAGATGTTTTTAGGTAAATATAAAATCTAATTATTTCCCCAAAATGTTTTCATTGTGTGTATTCGATTTTTTTGTTTTACTTTAAGATGAAGTGCTTTGTTTCGGGCTGAGAAATGTCTATAATAACCATTAAAAACACGTTGATTATGTGAAAGATATGATCCACAAAGACATGACAGACCGCCTTAGATGAAAGCTTCATGTTTTAATATGGTTTTAATGTTGGGATTTGTTTTTCTAACAGACTAACAGTTCATTAAATGCATATAGCATTTGATGAACTGAATTATATTTTTGATGTGTGGTCACATATTTGTGTGGGAGTGGGACCTGCGATTCCTCGTTTTACAACAGTTCGGGTCCTGTGTCTAGTATTATGAGAGTGGGAGAAATACCATCAGCCCACACGGTCTCACTGAGCCCTCATTGAACCGGTCTACAGGACCGTCACACGGACGTTATGAACCGGTCTACAGGACCGTCACACGGACGTTATGAACCGGTCTACGGGACCGTCACACCCCCCCATCACTGCAGATCCGGACTACCACGTTCATTCCAACACCAACAAGTTATTCCCACAGTGAGTGCGGGAGGCCTCGTTACAGTCCATTGTGGTCCAAAACATTTACTTCCTTGTTTAGCGACGGCAGCGTTCTCCCACCAGGTGCGCAATGTGTGATAGCAGCGATGTTAGCGGACTCTCACCTTTACACTGCAGCGGCTGGCCCAGTTTGAATGTCACGGTTCCGGAGATGGACTCGCCCGGAGTGTACACCTCTTTGTTCTTTTTAAACGTGATCTCAAACTCCTGAACTTTCCCCATGTTTCCCCGCTCACAGCAGAAGTGACTGAAGAACACCTGAGCGCACAAACAACCTGCGCATTTACCACCCTGTGGCCCCGCCCTCTCACCTGACGTCACTGACGTGTCCCAGATAACAAAGATCATCAGGTGTTGGTGATTAATCTTTATTGTTGTGAGGAGACGTGACGTTTGTTTAGAACAACACTGGACATTCTATAAATACAAATGTAATAATAATAATAACAACAAGCCTTTGAGTTACAAGACAAACCAGCTGGCAAATGTCACAATCTTTAATGTTTTAATAATTGCACATATTTACATGCACACTAAAGTTTAGACAAACCACCCGGAAAATGTGAAACGAGTCTAACGAGCACGCGCAGATAGTTGTCGGACCACAGATGCTCAATGAGATATGGTATATTTCAATTCAATTCATTTCATTTGTAGCCTATTATCACAAATCACACATTTGAAAGAAAAATGATTCCTACTAATAATAACAGTGGATATAATAAAATAATAAAATAAGATCAGGAATAGTAATAGAAATGTGTCTAACACTAATAATAATGATCGTAGCAGTGGGTGTCAGGCAGCAAGTAGAACCACGATCCATGAAACCTGAGGAGAGACGCAAAGTTAGTAATGAGCATTAATGGGACATAAATACATACAGAAGGAGAGGAAGAGGAAGAGGAGCTCTGTGTATCCTGAGAAGTGCCCTCGTCTGGATTGATAGCAGCATAGCTAGTAGGGATGGGAATCACCCACGATACAATATCATCTTATTATGATTTAAAACATTTTGCGATATATCTGAAATAACATATTGCGATTTATTACCTTTCTTCAACTGCAAAAATTGCCGTATAATAACAGCTGCTCTCTCTAATAAGATAAAGTTTTCACTCGTTCATCTCACTTCAGTCATTTTATTGCATCATGCACCTGATAAAGAGTCCACTGTCCAATCTGACTGTTAACTCAGCACCTCTAGTGCACCCAACAATGATTGTTACCAGAAGGTTTGATTTGTATTTGTAATTCAGAATGTCACAATATGACATTCTGATATCACGATTATGGTCAGAGGAAACTGTTTCATGGTATATTATGGCCTATAGCCAACAAATTCAAATGATTAGGAAATAAAAGATCATATTTGTATTGATCGTATGTCACATTAATAATTGTGACATGTGATCATGTGTTGTCAGCTGCTTACAGCTCGTGTTAGGAAGTTAAACAGCTCATAATTCATAATATCTATTGAATGTTGCTGTGAAAACTTTTCCTTTAAACAACTGGATTCAAGTTTCTCAACAAAAACTACTTTTTACAAGATAACATTTGAACACATCATGATAACGTTATAATTTACCATCGTCCATACTCACGTTACCATGATGGAACTAAGTGGAACCTCCCAGCACAGCTCTGCTCTATACGTGTTGCTGCCAGCGTTCTCTCTCCTCCTGCTGGTTCCAACACACACACACACACACACACACACACGAGAGGAGACCTCATGCACACGCAAACATGTCTCGCAAGACTCGTTTTCACAGGGAAACAAATTGATAAACCTGCAAAGAATGACCAAATGATGAAATGACCGATCAGACAATAAGATCTGTCAGTGGAGAAAGAGGATATCGGGGCTGGAAAAAAATGCAAGGTGTCAATAGTACAAATAAAAGCTTACAAAGGCAGCAGAACAATACAACCTGTGCTATAGTTCTCCTGCAAACAATGAGTCCAAAGAAACCAGTGAGTACTTGTAAAATAACTGGACTACAAGTGGGTGATTTGGATGGCAAGAACTATATTGATCTCCAAAAAACATATGTTCAAATAAAGATACCAACGACAAAGAGAAACATTTTCTCTCAAAATGACCTCAGGAGGCCTTACTGGCAATGGACCCTACCCTGCATGTAAGAACCCGCTTAGGATGGGTGTAAATGGACCACTCAACCCATCTTCAGCTGTGGTTGAATGTGGACGGCCAGTGGCATACGTACACCACAATTTAATTGATTAACTGGAAAACCTTCCTGTAAACCATCACGATTTCCCAGAAAGAGACTATGAAGGAAACAGAATGAAAGCTGCAAACTCTTCAGCACTAGAGAACATCAGAGACTGTTTTCTGCAGACGAATGCAGTCTAAAGTAGGAGAGCAAGATCTTCAATAGGACCGTGTGATGCCGGATTTGTCAGTTTTCACTTCAGTTAGCGTGGACTATTTTGGACCTTTTGAAATAACGCGAGGTTGGACCAATTCTAAGAAAGGTCAAATTTCCACATGCCTCCATCGTTAGGTGGCAAGTAGTTTGGACACTAACTCCTGCATCAATGCAATACCATATTCCATATTCTACATTCAATATTCTGATTTTAATATGTCCTACTGTGTTATTTTATTGTATATATTGTGCATTTTTTAATACTTAATATTTTTGGTTACTCTGCTACTTTGTATGTCTTGCTGCTGTAACATACACATTTTGCCCTGGGGATGAATAAAGTATACATCTATCCATCTATACGCAGATTTCTATGTCGTAGAGGTACTGTAAAAACCATCAGATCAAGGTAAAAATTGTATTGCTGCACAAAAAGAGCTGAAATGATCATTGAAATAACTAAATCATGATCAAATCAATTGGAATCTCATCCAATAAGGATTTGGGTGGCTATTTAACCCGGGAGCAGGCGCTCACCACAGAGCCATATGAGAGACTCACAAAGTCTGAACTCTGTGGAAAGAGAAGAAGTTCTGAATGATGACGCCTGGGAAAACAGCCTTATGTGAGTTGGAAGCTATGATGAATGACAGAACTATCACAACTAAAACAAATGACTTGAATGATGTGGAACCTTTAACACCTTATCATCTGCTTCTACTCAAAACCAACCCTGTCATACCTTCTGGAGGGTCCATGAAACAGGACCTGTTCTCTAACAGGAAACCAGTACACTATCTCTTCTGGAGGAGTTGGGTTCGAGCAGCTAATTCAATGACAAGCATAATATGTGTGGTAGATTGATTGTACATTCTTATAACTCAATTTAAAAAAAGTGTATCAGGTGTCTGAGCATGCATGAGTTCATATTCATTAAATATTCATCTCCCAGTCTGCTCCACTGCTCACCTACTGCCTCCCAGCCTCTACTTCACTCTGCTTGCCGGCCAATCCCACCTCATCAGTTCACCCCACTCACCTGTGCTCACAACTGCAACCCACCCATATATATATATATATATATATTATATATATATATTTTTCGTCTCTCCAGTTCCCTCTGACTTTAATTGTTTCCATAATAAAAGTTCAGATCATGAAAACACAAATCTTTATAATAAATGAAGAAAGTTGTTTGTGGTCCTTTTGTTGTTCAGACTACAATGAACATTTATTTAAACCAGAAAACGAATCAAATATAAAGCTTGAGTTTATTCTGTGATCCGTCTTCACTGTTCACATGTTGAACAAAATCTCATCAGTCCGATCGGCTGCAGCGTCCAATCACATGACTGATGAACAATGAGGGGGCGTGTCGGCCGTTAAAACACTTCCTGGAAGTCTGTTCTCGTGGGTCCTCCATGGCTCCTCAGAGATCCCTCCTCCCTCCTCCCTCCTCGATCCTCAGAGCTAAATAAGAGCTTTGGGACGGCCGTCAATATGGCGGCGCAGAACAACTTCCGGTTCAATCGAGGATCGAGGAGCGAGGAAATGAGAATTAAGAGACTTGGGATGTACCCCTCGTCGCTGCCTCACCTCGCGTGTCTCCTCTCTGTTTGAACAGGATATGCGCAAATTCAGCGATTTTGACTCTAAAAATGCTTAAAATTATTGAAATCATACAGAAATTACATTTACAACACAGATCAGTAGATAAATATTATTATTTTTTATTTTATCATTATTTGTTTTTTACTTTTCATGATGACAGGTGAGGCTCTGCCTCCTCTGACCGCACGTCCCTGTTCATTTTAATGTGATATTGCCATAAATTGTATGACTAAAATGTCTGATTAAATGTGATAAAACATTGTTTTTTTTAATTGTTTCTCATGTTCTACTGAGTAGCTACAAATGTGCATATCACTGGGGATCTTCCCTCTAAGGGCCAAATGTGTACATTTCTAAGGATACATTTTATAGCCCAAGAACATTTAGGTCCATTATTGTCCCCACAAGGTAGAAACTGTAAGGGTACGTACCCTTGCAGGTTACCCTGAATGTACCAACAGGGGTACTGTATGTATGTATGTACCTTTGAGGGTACTACTACAGTGATGAGCTGTTGGACCCCAAAAAGTACAAATTAAGCAATGTGTGGAGTGTAATCAACAACACAGACACTTGTACTGTACATTTAATTCAATATCCATTCAAAAAATATCAATTTGTAACTCTTCTTCTGTCAGTCTGCTAATAGCTGTACATTGACCTTTTTGTATTGTATTGTACGCAGTGGCGGCTGGTTGAAAATGTTCTAGGTAGGGCCATCCTATCAAAGGCATTACTACTTTGCAGTTAAATATTTAACATTTATTCCAACACAAAAAAAAGCAGTAAATAACACTTATATAATATAATATAATAGAACATGTGTATTTATTGAGATGTCCCTATGGACCTTGTTATAGCAGGTAAGATCATGAGAAGCAAACATGAAGTGTAATTATGAATACTGATGTTAAATTAAGCTATGATGAGTTTTCACTGTTAATTTACCATCTCAATTAAATGTTGATGCCTCCATGACCAAGTTAAGCAGATGAGACTGAGGACAACTATGTAGAAGAAAAGATGTTCACTTTGCCTAATATGTAGCTTGACAGAGTTCTCCATGTGTGTCCTGGTGTTCTCATGCTTCCTTACCTCCTCATCCCTCACTCCCTACCCTGGTGTTCTCATCTCCTCCTCATCCCTCCTCCGTAGCTGTCCGTGCTGGATCTGCCCCCGTTGTTTTAAAAAGCTAAATAAGTTATTAGCATAACGTCATCCAGCTAGCCAAACCTGTCTGGTATTCAGCTAGTACAGAAGCTTCGCATGTACTGCTTCCCTTTCCCACTAGTCTGCTGTCTGATTGTGAGGTCAGGCTGATCTGATATCAGCTCTTTGGCTGCAGAATCTCCGCCAAAGTTCTCCTCTCAAACGAGACCTGGAGGAGTAGTGCTCGCGCTGGCGCTCGCCTGTAGAGACTTCTCCTGACGAGAACGCGCAGCTAGGGGGGCCAAATCTTTTTGGCCCCACGCTGAATCTATTTGAGGGCGCTGATTGGCTAAATTGTATGTCACTCATTTATATCTTTAATCAGCCATCCATCCATCCATTTTGCACCTCTTATCTGGGATCGGGTCGCGGTGGCAGCAGGCCAAGCAGGCTGACCCAGACCTCCCTCTCACCGGCAACATGTTCCAGCTCATTCTGGGGATCCCGAGGCGTTCCCAGGCCAGCTGGGAGATGTAATCTCTCCAGCGTGTTCTGGGTCTTCCCCGGGGTCTCTTCCCAGTTGGACGTCCCTGGAAAACCTCCAGTGGGAGGCGTCCAGGAGGCATCCTAATTAGATGCCCGAACCACCTCAGCTGACTCCTTTCAACGCGAAGGAGTAGCGGCTCGACTCCAAGTTCCCTTCTGATGACCGAGCTCCTTACCCTATCTCTAAGGCTGAGGCCAGCCACCCTACGGAGGAAACTCATTTTGGCCGCTTGTAGCCACGACCTTGTCCTTTCGGTCACGACCCAGAGTTCGTGACCATAGGTGAGGGTAGGAACGTAGACCGAGTGGTAAATTGAGAGCTTTGCCTTCCGGCTCAGCTCCCTCTTCACCAAGACGGTCCGGTGCAGCGCCTGCTTTACTGCTGCAGCCGCACCGATCCGCCTGTCGATCTCCCGCTCCATCTTACCCTCACTCGTGAACAAGACCCCGAGATACTTAAACTCCTTCGCTTGAGGTAGGCACTCCGTCCCCACCTGGAGGGAGCAATCCACCGGTTTCCGGCAGAGAACCATGGCCTCAGATTTGGAGGTGCTAACTCTCATCCCCGCCGCTTCACACTCGGCTGCAAACCGCCCCAGTGAATGCTGGAGGTCATGATCCGAGGAGGCTAACAGGACCACATCATCTGCAAACAGCAGAGAGGCCATCCCGAGACCCCCGAACCTGACGTTCTCCGCCCCTAGGCTGCGCCTAGATATCCTGTCCATGAAAATCACAAACTGGACCGGTGACAAAGGGCAGCCCTGGCGGAGGCCAACACCCACTGGGAACGTGTCTGACTTATTGCCGAGAATGCGGACACAGCTCCTACTGCAGTCGTACAGAGACCGGATCGCCTGTTGTAACGGGTCCGGCACCCCATACTCCCGCAGCACCCCCCACAAGACCCCCCGAGGGACCCGGTCGAAAGCCTTCTCCAAGTCCACGAAGCACATGTAGACTGGTTGGGCAAACTCCCAGAGCCCCTCCAGTAGTCTTGCGAGGGTAAAGAGCTGGTCCACTGTTCCACGGCCGGGACGGAATCCGCACTGCTCCTCTTGAATCTGAGGTTCGACAAACGGTCAGAGCCTCCTTTCCAGCACCCTGGCATAAGCCTTCCCCGGGAGGTTGAGTAGTGTGATACCCCGGTAATTCGAGCACACTCTCCGGTCCCCCTTTTTGAAGATGGGAACCACCACCCCGGTCTGCCATTCTATGGGCACTGATCCCGACCCCCATGCGACATTGAAGAGGCGTGTCAGCCAGGACAGCCCAACCATGTCCAGCGCCTTCAGCATCTCAGGGCGGATCTCATCCACCCCCGGCGCCTTGCCACCAAGGAGCTTTTTAACTACCTCAGCGACCTCTGCCAGGGATATGGGTGACCCTCCCCCTAGGTCCTCAGGCGCTGCCTCCTTTGCAGAGGACATGTTGGTCGGGTTTAGGAGTTCCTCAAAGTGCTCTTTCCACCGCCCGACGATGTCCTCCGTCCGGGTTAGCAGTTCCCCCCCTGCTGAGAACAGCCTGGGGTAAGCCCTGCTTTCCCTTCCTGAGCCGTCGGATGGTTTGCCAGAACCTCCTTGAGGCCAACCAAAAGTCCTTCTCCATGGCCTCCCCAAACTCCTCCCATGCCCGAGTTTTAGCATTCGCGACCACCGCAGCTGCAGCCCTTCTGGCCTGCCGGTACCTGTCAGCTGCTTCAGGAGACCCCTGGGCCAACCAGGCCTTGAAGGTCTCCTTCTTCAGCTTGACGGCTTCCCTCACCACCGGGTTCTCGGGTTGCCGCCACGACAGGCACCGATGACCTTCCAGCCACAGCTCCTAGCGGCCGCGTCCACAATAGAGGCTTTGAACATGGTCCACTCGGATTCCGTGTCCCCAACCTCCCTCAGGATGTGTGAGAAGTTCTTCCGGAGGTGGGAGTTAAAGACATCCCGGGCAGGGTCCTCCGCCAGACGTTCCCAGTTTAACCTCACTACACGTTTGGGTTTGCCGGGTCTTTCCAACCTGTTCCCCTGCCATCTGATCCAACTCACCACCAGGTGGTGATCAGTTGACAGCTCTGCTCCTCTCTTCACCCGAGTGTCCAAGACATACGGCCGCAAATCAAATGATACGATTACAAAGTTGATCATTGATCTCCGGCCTAAGGTGTTCTGGTACCAGGTACACTTATGAGCCACCTTATGTTCGAACATGGTGTTCGTTATGGCCAAACTGTGGCAAGCACAGAAGTCCAATAACGAGACACCACTCGGGTTCAGATCGGGAGAGCCGTTCCTCCCAATCACCCCCTGCCAGGTTTCTCCATTATTGCCCACATGAACGTTGAAGTCCCCCAGGAGAACTATGGAGTCGGTAGGCGGCGCCCTTTCCAGGACCCCTCCCACCGACTCCAAGAAGGCCGGACACTCTGAACTGCTGTTTGGTGCATAAGCACAAACCACAGTCAGAGCTTTGCTCCCCGCAACCCGTAGGCGCATGGAGGCGACCCTCTCGTTCTCCGGGGAGAACTCCAACACAGCGGCGCTCAGCCGGGGGCTCGTGAGTATCCCCACTCCTGCCCGGCGCCTTTCACCCTGGGCAACTCCGGAAAAGGACAAAGTCCAACCCCTCTCCAGGATCTTGGTTCCAGAGCCAACGCTGTGTGTGGAGGTGAGTCCAACTATTTCTAGCTGGTATCGCTCCACCTCCTGCACCAGCTCCGGCTCTTTCCCCGCTAGCAAGGTGACGTTCTACGTCCCTAGAGCTAGTCTATGCTGCCGGCGATCGGCATGCCCAGGCCTCGCACCCGACCCGCCGCCCGGTCTGCATAGCCCGATAGCCCGACCCCGATGCTTGTCCCTGCGGGTGGTGGGTCCACAGGGTGGCTGTTCCATGGTGTTTATTCAGGCTGAGCCCGACCGGGCCCCATGGGCAAAGGCCTGGCCACCAGACGCTCGCCTACGAGCTCCCCTCCTGGGTCTGGCTCCGGGAGGGTGCCCCGGCTTCCCTGGTCCGGGCGAGGTGGCTAAAGTCCATGGGCTAGCTATCATAGGGGTCGTTTTGAACCGCTCTTAGTCTGGGCTCCCCTGAAACCTGTCCCGGACAATATAGCTCCCAGGATCACTGAGCCACTCAAACTCCTCCACCACGATAAGGTGGCGATTCGCAGAGGAGCCGCAATTGGCAGCAATTGGCAGCAATTGGCTAAACTGCTTCATAGACCCGCCTCTTTTGGGCCAAAACGATTTAGCCCCCCTAGCTGCGCGTTCTGAGACGTGTCATGCACACAGGCGGAGAGCACGAGCAGACGAGCACACAGGCAGAGAGGACGAGCAGGAAAAGCATATATTTTGCGCAGATATCATATTTTACACATATTACTGGGTACATTCCATAGTTCAAAAACACAAATATTGACAATTTGTATAATTTATGATTATTATAATTTTTTTTTTTTTTTTTTGTGTGGCCATGCCCCATTGCCCTCTATCAGCCAGCCGCCACTGATTGTACAGTGTTCCTGTTATTTTGTCCACCTGCTGGGTACGTACAGCATCTCTAAGATTAGGTTGTCTTTGGTTGTCTCTGCATGTTAGGGAATTGAGTTAGCTAACTGGCAAATTCCACGATGCTTTAATGCTGCACTGGTTACAGAAAATAAGCATTTTGATTTCTACACTGACTAGTGTGGACAAAGCGTTGGGTTCCTAAATTTGACTAATTTACTGCTGCTCTCTGCAGTTTGTAAAGTTACAACTCCACTGCTACAACGGCCCCAATATACACATACAAATGTCCCCCGCTCTGACTATTCCGCTATATTAATTTGAATGGTAATGTCCTTAAAAATCAACCTTAAAAATAAGGAAAAAACTTCAGTCAATTAAGAGTCTTGTCAGCTTGTCGGTCATCTGTAAAACACTTTGAATGGCAATGAACCATATGAAAGGTGTAATTCAAATATTTGAGTGAGTGATTGTCATAGATTCTAAAGTGTGGATGATGAGCAGCGTTCTTCCAAACGATTCCTCCTCAATTGTTATTTAATGGTGGTGGTGGAGAGCCCGTCACTGTTCCTTGTTCACACTACACACTGTACAGTAGCTGCCATGGATCACCTAATGGACTACAGACACCAGACCCTTCAAAGTTCAAGTCACTGGATTTGTACGCAGGTGTGCAGTAAATCTTTTCAGTTTGGCCCAGCTCCAATAAAGCACTGACCTCTGTCACTGAACATCTGGTGTTCGAGCCCTTTGAATGGTCAGAAGACGACAGTAGGCTGTGTGTAGTTTAATGAGTCTATCCTGCAGCTACACACACTTCTGGTTCAAATGAGCAGTTCTCATTAAAAATGTTCATCCTGTTGACTTGTTCCATGTTTTGTTTATTCATTACCACACCTAAAGTGAGGTTTCCTGTCATCTTCTATATATGGTTCATACAGACCATAACTTAGTGTGAATCTATGGACGCTGGTTGCATTAGATTCATTTAGATATGAGCACTTCAGTGTTAAAGTTGTCTTCAGTATGTAGAGCCTAGTAAGACACACTGCCTACATGTGTGGCCCATTGAGGTCTATAGAAACCAGACATCATAGTCAAGTGTTCCTCATCAAGTGACTACATCTGTACAGAGGTGCTGCAGTAAGATGGACTGCATCTCGTCACTTGGGCTGGAACACAATGACACCACTTTGCATTTCTAAATAATCATTTATTTACAGGTTTGTTGCACAACGGTCACAATTCACACACTGATTTACATATGAAGTACGACGAGAATGTATATTCTGCCAATACTGCAAAAACAACGTTTAGAAAAACATGTCGGAGCTGGAAGAGCCTCTCAGACAAACATCTAAAGATAATAAACCTCCATGAACAATCACAGATCAAAGCAGAATGTGAAATGTCTCGTCTCTTTGAACAATGTGAGCCAGCTGGTGGCTGTATTTACAGCCAGTCACTGACGGAGACCTGTGGTGTCCTGCTGGGCCTCAGAGAGGCGTGGCTGGGGTGGAGGCAGCAGTGGGGACAGTCACTGGATGCAGCCCCAGGTCCAGGGATGGAGCTTCATCTGGTGGTGGAGGGCTCCTCTTCTGGGCGTCCAGCTTCTCTGTTAGCTGAGTGTAGAGCTCCTTCACTGGCTCGCTGCTCTGTGGTCACCAGACAAAGTGTCAGTACATACATTAAACACTCCGTCCAGACGCTGACATGTGTCCCGAGGGCTGCTCTGTCACACAACTGCTCTGTTTTAAAGCTGCAATGTGAAACTTACTGAAGTGACTCCGTGGATAGATCATATATCCGTCAGTCTGAGTCCTATGTGTGGATGTCTGAAATTGGCTGAACTTAAGCTGGTGTTTGGGACGTTTCTGGGGACATACTACTTCACTTGATGTTAGATATCAGAGTTTCAGGATAGACAGCTTATCAAGAGGAGGAACTACCGGCTACAGAAGAACAGCTGCGTCCTGTTCACAGCGGTCCTGATCACAGACAGCATGCACATGTATTTAAAGTGAGGCTGTGTCATCAAAAGAAACATTCAATAAAGCATCTGTCATCCCTTCAGGTCTCCTCTCTGGTGGAGTCAGTGGACACATGTAGGAACACATGCGTCTCATGTTTACTGGTTTGAACATCACTTTGATTCTATGATGTCATCTTCATGATACGTATCAATAATGTTCAGTGTCTTTGTTAACGGGAGCATCTACAGGTGAATAGGGTCAAAATGTAAAGTAATAGATAATGAGACAACTATAGAGATGTTATGTTGAATATGTAGATGAGATCTTTTTCAATGTGTACTTATCTGTGTACATAACAGAAATGTGAACATTGTCACATAACGCCAAGTTCAACATCCTTGTTTCCTTCTGTGGATATGTAGAGTCACAGGTTCTCACAGTCTGTAATCATGTGTCTTTAGATTTGTCTTTGTGTCGCTCCATAAACAGAAGAACAAAGACATGTTTTTAGTGATAAAATGTGTATAAACGAGTCTCTAATGATAACAATCGGAGCCGGTCAGTGGCAACAACAAGCATTCCTACTGGACGCTGCACAATAGACCTTGTAGCTGGTTTAGTGGCCGCTGTTCTGTTATAGACAAGAAGATGCTGGCTTACAATGAATTTTAATATTAGTATCATTTACCACGACATATTTAGCCGTCATGGAATTATTATACACACCATTTCAAACTACGTGAACGTTTTCCTTCATCGTAGGAGTTGACCGATACCAACGAGGGATCAGGACTCACGGTGGGCTGAAGTATACGAGGTCTGTTAAAGCACTCCGCCCGTCACTACAACCCCGGCTCACTGCTGAGCACAAGCTGGATGTAGAAATGAAGCCAACCTGTTTTGGAGGTTCAAGAGTTTTCACCAAGGTTTCCCGACACGACGGCAGCACTTTGTGATGTAGATGCAGCATCATCCGGAGGGCGTGTCTGTGCACGTTCTCTTTACTGGAACATATCGAGACACAAACAAAATTAATCAGGAGACATGGCGGAGACGTTTGAGTCAAATGTAACACGAATAATGTGGAAGGGACGGGACCAGCCTGCTGTCTGAAGCTGTGTGTGTGTGTGTGTGTGTGTGTGTGTGTGTCAGTCACACTATCGGCTCTGCTAGAATCAGCTCACCTGGAAAAAGAAGTAAGAAGGAAGCCATCGAAAACTACTGAACAGAAGTCTTCCGATCCGAACTCATCAGACAGCAGGGTGAGGTGTCCGGTCAGCAGGTGCAGGAAGATGTCACCAAAGGCCATGTCATTGTAGGTCTCCACTGGAACAGCAGACACACAGCTCTTATTCTGACGTGTCGATCCTACACAGTCTTCTACTGCTGACTGTAGTCGTGTCACTTACTGCTCAACGGGTCAAGCTGCTGACCCACACAGTGTTCTGAGCGATACTCACCCAGGGCAGGTAGCAACCTCTGCAGGGCGTTCTTGTTCCTCAGCTTGGCGATGTGGAGGACGTAGTAGAGACCCATTTCACAGGCCACTCTGTTCTCCTGCAGGTACCTGAGGGACAGCAACACGTCTCACCGAGGCACTCTTCATCATTTATCACACAAGAACAGGAACACTACAAAGAGTGCCTTGACTGTCCAGTCTGTGGTAGTAGTATTCTTGTGTTGTCTCACAGTCATGCTGTGATCCACAGAAGTAGTCTCATGAAGGCTGCTGTTATGCACTCTGGCTGTGAGCATGTTCACGTTACAGCTGTGAAGTCATCAGCACACAGGAACCCCCCGGAGCCGTCTGTGCTCGGTTAGGATGCTTTTATTAATAACTTCAACCTGTCAAGTCAGACAGATGAGTGACTTTGTTGGACTTGAGTAACAGCTGAATAAAAGTCATGTTGTTGCTTTTTGATGTTCACCTGTGATATTTATAATACGAGACGATGGACTGTATTGTCCCAGTTGGGACATTTGTCTTAGACTCAAACACTGCACACATGACATAGTGTCCTATCGTATAGCTGTGCAGCAGTAATGATAAGAAACAAACATGTACTGAAGCACTTCACAGGTTGCTCGTCCATCGACCTCTGACCCCACCATGGTGAAGGGGACTGCAGGTCTTTACCTGCTGAAGGCATCCGGCAGGGTGGTGGGGTAAGACAACGAGCTCTTCTCCTCACCGGGGAGCTTGTTTTCTGCAGTGAAGGTGTGATCATCAACAACCACTGACATCATGGCAGGCAGGAAGCGGGTCACCACCTCCAAGTCCTGACAGCAGGCACACAGGAAGATCCATCTATGAGTTTATGAAGCAATGCAGCACACATACGCCGCAGGTGAACACTCTACGTACCAAACGAGGCTCTTTAAAGACCTGGCTGTCAATCATGTCCCACGCCCCTTGACCCAGTGACAGCATCCTCAGCAGCAGCATCAGGTCCGGACTGTCCTGTTCAAAAACAGACACAACAGAAGGACTTACAATGGGCTGTGTGTGAGGGAACTCTACAGTGAAAACACAAGGAACTGTGGTGGACAAACTCTCTGCCTTTCAGCATTCACAGTGGCTGTCATTTAAAGAACTAATAATCCAGAAACATGCATATTAGAGAGGGAGGGACAGTGACTATCAGGCTGGATGAAGCTAAAGGAAGACACGGGGTTGAATAATACCAAAGTCCCCTTTAAGTGCCGACTACGCTTCTAGCTGCATCCCTGTCACCAGTCAGTCAGTAGAACACCATCGGCATGGTTGTGCATCATGTCGCCTGTGTCCTCGTGCACAGCATGCTCACCCTGGGTAAAGCGTCCTGACTCAGCAGTTCTTGCAGGTTCCTCATGATACTCAGAACCAGGGTGTTGCATGCAAACGGGTCACACAGGATCATGGACAGGTCCCTGGAACGCACAGAAAGATAAATTCAAGCATTGATCCGGTATGAACAGCTCTGTTTATAACCCTTCCCCTCATCCCTTACCCGAGGACTTGCTCTTGTCCTTTCTTCACTCCATCCAGGAAACCTTGCAGCTCTCTGGCTCGCTTGCCGTCCACAAACTTCTCACGGATGCAGGCGTCTAAACACCAAGTGAACTGTCACAGCACACAACAGAGACAGAGAGGAGAAAGAATGCTAGAACACAGAAAACACAGGGTTTGGGGCTCCTCAGTGGTCTGATGGTGTCCATAAGTGATCCTCACCTTATGGCAGGGGTCCACAGAGCAGATCTCACTGATGTCCAGGTCGTGAAGAGACATCAGCAGCTCTGCTCTCAGCGTGCAGTAGTGGACATTTCGCGTTCGCAGGAAGAGCGTTCTTAAAAACTGCAGCACCATGTCGTACAGCTTCACGTTCTTTCCGATCATCTGTGTCAGCTTTAGGACCACCTGGAACATCAGGAAAGCTTAACAGCGCCATCTCTTCACACAGAGATTCATGCCTCAAAGACTTTGGTTCTTGTTTAAGAGACATCTAATCTGATGACTGACTCACCTCGCCTTGGCGTCGCGCTTTGGGGGAGGGGCTGAAGAAATTGTGCAGGATGGAGAGGTCGCTGCTGAACAGAGCGGCTTCCTTCTCCACAATGTACTGCTTTAGGAGAGGCGACACTTCATCTCCAAACAGAGCCTGGTTGTCCTGCCAGATCTGCCTCTTCACCTCCACCGCACACACCTTGTACAGTTCCTTGTCAGCCATCACCATCTTCAGTTTCTTCTCTGGCACCTGCAGGAGGGAGCATGTGATGAAGATTAAGGGGCACTTCTGCAAAGCCAATTTGAAGATTTTGGCTTAACAACTTGTTTTATACCTAATAAACTTTGATACGGACATTCAAGGTTCCCAGAGGGTCAAAATATAGTCACTGCACAAATCAATGTACGCGTGTTGTTCCACGCCGGGCCTCTAGAACAGCTTCACATTCTCCAAGTGTGTGGAGGGACGGACAGCATTCTTCCAAAACGCATTCCCATTTGGTGTCTGGTGATGTGGTGGAGAGCACCGTATAACAATGACTCAAACTTGTGCTCATTATTTACTTATTGTACTTTACTATTATTGTCTAATGAGGGATGAGGACTAAAACTTTAGACATTTTCCTTTATATTGAAATGAAGACGGCTACAAAATGTACAATAATCACATTCAATAAATTCCAGCAATATCGCATAAAAACTCTCGACGGTGTTAACGGGGTTCTCTCGACGGTGTTAACGGGGTTCTCTCGACCGGCGTTAACACCGGTAGATAGGACGCCGGTAACATCGTCGATAGGACGCCGGTAACATCGTCGATAGGACGCCGTTAACATCGTCGATAGGACGCCGTTAACATCGTCGATAGGACGCCGTTAACATCGTCGATAGAACGGCGGTAGATAGAACGCCGTTAACAACGTCGATAGAACGCCGTAGAAAGAACGCCGTTAACATCGTCGATAGAACGGCGGTAGATAGAACGCCGTTAACACCGTCGATGTGACGCCGTTAACACCGTCGATGTGACGCCGGCAGATAGAACGCCGTTAACGCCGGCAGATAGAACGCCGTTAACGCCGGCAGATAGAACGCCGGCAGATAGAACGCCGTTAACGCCGGCAGATAGAACGCCGTTAACATCGTCGATAGAACGCCGGTCGAGAGAACCCCGTTAACACCGTCGACAGAACCCCGTTAACACCGTAGATAGAACGCTGTTAACATCGTAGATAGAACGGCGGTCGATAGAACCCCGGTTGAGAGAACCCCGTTAACACCGTCGAGAGAACCCCGTTAACACAGTCGAGAGAACCCCGTTAACACAGTCGAGAGAACGCCGGCAGATAGGACGCCGTTAACAACGTCGATAGAACGCCGTAGAAAGAACGCCGTTAACATCGTCGATAGAACGCCGGTAGATAGAACGCCGTTAACACCGTCGATGTGACGCCGGCAGATAGAACGCCGTTAACGCCGGCAGATAGAACGCCGTTAACGCCGGCAGATAGAACGCCGTTAACGCCGGCAGATAGAACGCCGTTAACATCGTAGATAGAACGGCGGTCGATAGAACGCCGTTAACATCGTCGATAGAACGCCAGTCGAGAGAACCCCGTTAACACCGTCGAGAGAACCCCGTTAACACCGTAGATAGAACGCCGTTAACACCGTAGATAGAGCGGCGGTCGATAGAACGCCGGTCGAGAGAACCCCGGTCGAGAGAACCCCGTTAACACCGTCGAGAGAACCCCGTTAACACAGTCGAGAGAACCCCGTTAACACAGTCGAGAGAACCCCGTTAACACAGTCGAGAGAACGCCGGCAACATCGTCGATAGAACGCCGGTAACATCGTCGATAGAACGCCGGTAGATAGAACGCCGGTAGATGGAACGCCGTTAACACCGTCGATGGAACGCCGTTAACACCGTCGATGGAACGCCGGTAGATAGAACGCCGTTAACAACGTCGATAGAACTCTGGTAGATAGAACGCCGGTAGATAGAACGCCGGTAGATAGAACGCCGTTAACGTCGATAGAACGCCGGTAGATAGAACGCCGTTAACGTCGATAGAACGCCGGTAGATAGAACGCCGGTAAATAGAACGCCGTTAACGCCGGTAGATAGAACATCGTCGATAGGACGCCGGTAAATAGAACGCCGTTAACATCGTCGATAGGACGCCGGTAGACAGAACGCCGTTAACATCGTCGATAGAACGCCGGTAACATCGTCGATAGAACGCCGGTAGATAGAACGCCGTTAACATCGTCGATAGGACGCCGGTAGACAGAATGCCGTTAACATCGTCGATAGAACGCCGGTAGATAGAACGCCGTTAACGCCGGTAGATAGAACGCCGTTAACGCCGGTAGATAGAACGCCGGTAGATAGAACGCCGGTAGATAGAACGGCGTTAACGCCGGTAGATAGAACGGCGTTAACACCGGTAGATAGAACGGCATTAACACCGGTAGATAGAACGGCATTAACACCGGTAGATAGGACGCCGGTAACATCGTCGATAGGACGCCGGTAACATCGTCGATAGGACGCCGGTAACATCGTCGATAGGACGCCGGTAACATCGTCGATAGGACGCCGGTAACATCGTCGATAGGATGCCGGTAACATCGTCGATAGGACGCCGGTAACATCGTCAATAGAACGCCGGTAGAAAGAACGCCGTTAACATCGTCGATAGAACGCCGGTAGACAGAATGCCGTTAACATCGTCGATAGAACGCCGTTAACATCGTCGATAGAACGCCGGTAACATGGACCCTGGTCACCAAAGCAACCTCAGGCTGACGCTCCCTGCCCCATTCAGAGAACCACCAGTGGCCGGTTGCACCTGCAGGACGTACGCCCGGTCTTAAACTTAGCCGGCTGGAACTCTACACATTAGCAAGTTGCTAGGCAACAGTCATCGCTGCGTGGGCAGTCACATGAAAGTGTTTGGCTAAAACCGGGAGTAGTAAGGCTAGTGCAACCAACGTTAACAAAGACCGACTTAGCAGTTAGGACCGGGCTTAGTGAAGACCAGTTGGTGCAACCCGCTCCAGGTTAGACCTGCATCCCGTCGGTCTGAATGGGGCATCATATATTCTAAACGTACTGTACTCTGTGACTGTAATACACGTTATTAATGCTACAATACACAGTACAATACACTGAGACCGTGGCCCCAGCACTGCTGATTAAATGTCAATATTGCTCACACCTTGGGATATATCGCCATTTCTTTGCTTTAACAGGAAAGCAATGGCCCTGAAGACACTTACCTTGGGTAGATGCTTCAGCACCTGCATTACCACTGGCTGAATGGACGGCATTTTGACAAGGGGAAAGCTCTTCTCCAGCAGCTCCTCAAGCTTCCCATATCTGTAGGAAAACAGAGCACAATAGCATCCAAGCTGGCTCCTTCAAAACATGACTCAACGTTCAGAGTTCAATGACACACCTGTCCTCGTCCTTGCCCTCTGCAATGGTGGCGACTCGCTCCATCAGCTTTTCCCGAAGCTCGTCAAAGACGGACTGGTGGAACTCCAGCCGAGGGGTTCCGTGTAGATCAAGGAAGGGAAGAGCAGACTGGAGGGTTGGCAGCAGGATGCCATTTTCCATCTGCAGTCATGTAACGCATCAGGGATTAGTTGTAACTGTGGCTGGTCAGAGCCAGCTTAATAAATGTTTCCTTGCTTATGTGCAATGGCTGATATCAACTAGACAACACAACTTAAGACATTTGACACACCATGGAAATGGCTTAGAGTAATTTGGCATATAAAAAGGGACCATATGGTTTTTAGTCTTCTGACCACTCAAACAGCTTTAATACTACATGTCATCATTCACCCATTCATACACTGATGACAGGAGCTACCATGCAAGGTCCCATCAGAACTATCCAACTATTCATACCCGGCAGGAACAGCCTGCGGACACATTTTATTTACTATCAGAAGCCTGTCTAGAGGCAGTATTCTGTCTTCTGTGGCTCAGTGGAGAGCACGGCCGTCATTCAATCAGAGGGTCGGCGGTTCGATCCCCGACTAGTCGCATGTCGATGTGTCCTTGAGCAAGACACTTAACCCCAAAATTGCTCCCGTAGCTGTGCCTACCGTGTGACAGAATCTGAATTGTAAGTCACTTTGGATAAAAGTGTCTGCTAAATGACTGTAATGTAATGTTTGCATGGTGTCATATTAGCATATTTAATACGCAAAGTGGAAGAGAAGGCAAAACCTAAAGACTTCTCCTACAGAAGGTTATTACAGTGTCTGATCTCCACCTGTGTTCACTCATGTGTGTGAGTGTGTGCACATCTGCGTTTGGTTATTGGTTAGTCAGACTGGCTACGGTGGCTAAGCTAACAAAAGCCTTTTCAGTTGAGGCTAATGTTGGGGCTAATGTTGGGGCTAATGTTGGGGCTAATATCAGTTTCAGGGTGCATCAGCATACGAAATCACATCACCATCATTTCTAAAGCCTTGCATGTAGCCCAACAAGGGAAGAGAAGATAGATAGAAGACGATGTGTTTCGCTACTTTGTCAATAAAGATAATACACACTGATCGTGAAACGAACTCATTTGCATATGCATAAGGAGGCAGTCCTGGTGTGCCGGTCTTGAGCATAGCGCTCCAGGGCTCGGTACACTCGGGCTCTACATATGGAGTGAGTCTTGATTGAGAGGTTTAAACTGTGATTAGTTCAGCGGAACGTCCAACAGTGCTAACCCTAGACTAACCTTCTGTTTGTATTGTTAAGTGTGAAGAAGAGCTTTTCTCAAGTTAATTTCAGCTCGTTCCAGCCTGCTTTTATTGTGAAGCTCTTGACACTGAAACAGGAAGCAGTTCCTGTTTCAATCTAAGCTTCTACTTTCTTTGACCAATGACTTCTGATTTATTTCTTCTTATTCAACAGCTGCTCGGAGGATCTCTCAGAGCGTTTCGTTCTCCATCCACTAAACTAAAGAGGCTTTCTACAAGATAAAAGCATGAACGGCTATTCCAAAACACAGAGTTACCATTAGTCCTCTCACACATCCGACTGGTAACGTTATTCGAAGTGTAACGTTACGACATGACCACACAGCGTGGTCCTGGAGAACCCGGGTACCGTTACCTGGAACTGGTCGATGGCTTTCAGCGGCTCCGTGCAGTTGGTGAGCGTCTCTTTCAGGTCCTCTCCGTTGGAGATCCCCAGCTCAGGCAACCCCGCGAACATTCTGCTGCTTTATCATCGACTTCAAGAGCTACGTGGGGCTTAAATACTCCACCGTGTGGATGTTTAGCCGAAGAGATCCCGCTTGCTACACAATACTCCAACACATCACGCTCTCTATGCAGTCAAAGGAAACTTCCGGTGTTGTAACTGTGTAAACAGTCCGTCAGAAACACCAGCGACGGATCTTCTTCTTTCTTCTTGTTTGAGGTTTACTGGCGGTTGGCAAACAATGAATTGGTGCATTACCGCCACCTACTGGTCTGGAGTGTGGATCAGGATGTCTGGTACTTATATACAAATTAAAAGAAACAAAACAAAACAACGGGCTCATGTTTTCTTAATAATATGAATGAATCTAAGATATTTAAATAGTACTTGATGACACTCACTGTTTGAGTTATTTTGCAGAATATCCATCCTCCTGAGACCCAGGAGAAAAAAAAGTGTTTTAATTATTCATTTTTTAAATAAATGAAGTGTTGGGGTGGTAAAAACATATTGCAAAGATGTTTTTTTAAATGTAACTTTATTAAAATGTTACAACATGTGTACTGTAGTGTACAACAGGACTTCAGATTTTGCTCCAGTTTTCAATTTTAGTGAGCACATCATTCATCATTATGGAGAATAGTAATGGACTGACTATACTACCTTGAGGCGTTCCATTTTCAATACCAACCTTTCCAGAATAGCTCTTTCCTACTCTGACTTCTAAACATCTTTTTAATAAAAAATCCTTTATCCATCTATACATTCGCCCCTTAATACCCAACTTGCAGAGTCTAATTAGTAACCCTTCTCTCCACATCATATCATATGCTTTCTCTATGTCAAAGAAGACAGCCACAACACTTCCCTTGTTTACCTGCTTTCATAACTTCATGTTCTAAACTTAAAGCTGGATCTAAAGGACTTCTCCCTTTCCTGAATCCACTCTGGTATTTGGATATATATCCTTTACTTTCTACATAATATATTCATCTGTCATTTATCATTTTCTCCATTATTTTGCAGATATTGGATGTTAAAGCTATTGATCTATAGTTCCTGGGTTCGTACAATCTTTACCGGGTTTGCGTATCAGGACTATAATTGCCTCCTTCCAGCTTTGAGGCAATTTGCCACCCTCCCAAACTTTATTATATAATTTGCGTAATATATCCTCAGAAGATTCACTAAGATTGTTTAACATGATATAATAAATCTGGTCCTTGCCCCGACGTTTTGGTTTTCTTGAGACATCGGCTCAGTTCTGTTTTTGTAAAAGGCTTGTTTAGCAGATCATTAGTATCTTCCTCTTGCTGTAATACATGTTCATTCTCCACTATTGTAGCTTCCCTTCCTTTTACCTTCTTCACCAATAGTATCTGAACTATGTATTTTAACAAAGGTTTTTCTTTCTCTGCATCTCTCACTGCTGCTGTTTCACCATCATTGAGGACTGGATACCACTCTCTTTTAATCCCGTTCATTCTGTTCATCATGTTCCACACCGTATCTATTGTTCTCTCTCTTCCTATTGAGTTACAAAATGTCCTCCAACATTCCTTCTTTGTATTTTTATGATCCTCCTTACATTTGCTTGCAACTTTTTATAATCAGTAAGATTCTGAAAACTATGATTCTTTTTTAATACTTTGAAAGCTTTATTCCGAGATTTAATTGCTTCATCACATTCCTTAGTCCACCAAGGAATCATCTTCTTCTCATGCTCACCTCCCTTCTTCTGCACGGACTCCTCTACAGCCTCTGATAGCTTCACAAATAGAATCATTTCTACATCTGCACTAATACACACTTTCTCCATCTCTTGATCACTAACCCTTCTACATTCATCCCAGTCAGCACTGCTGATAGACCATTTCTGTAGTCCTTCTGTCTCATTATTGGATGATGGTCACTTCCTACCGTTGTTCCTCTTATTACCTCCCAGGAGCTAACTCAGATACTAAAGTAAGGTCTATTGCCGGCTCTGTCCCTGTTCTGATGTTACATCTTGTCCCAGTTCCATTATTTAAGCACACCAGGTTTTTTATCTCCATTAATTCTTCTATCATTCCATTGTTATCATTACCATTACCCCATAATGTGCTATGAGCATTAAAATCTCCACAACATATCACTATCCCTTCTAGCTCCATCCATCCATCCATTTTCCTCCGCTTATCCGGGGTCGGGTCTCGGTGGAAACAGGCCAAGCAGGCTGACCCAGACCTCCCTCTCACCGGCAACATGTTCCAGCTCATTCTGGGGGATCCCGAGGCGTTCCCAGGCCAGCTGGGAGATGTAATCTCTCCAGCGCGTTCTGGGTCTTCCCCGGGGTCTCTTCTCAGTTGGACGTGCCTGGAAAACCTCCAGTGGGAGGCGTCCAGGAGGCATCCTAATTAGATGCCCGAACCACCTCAGCTGACTCCTTTCGACACGAAGGAGTAGCGGCTCGACTCCAAGCTCCCTCCTGATGACCGAGCTCCTTACCCTATCTCTAAGGCTGAGCCCGGCCACCCTACGGAGGAAACTCATTGCGGCCGCTTGTAGCCACGACCTTGTCCTTTCGGTCACGACCCAGAGTTCGTGACCATAGGTGAGGGTAGGAACGTAGACCGAGTGGTAAATTGAGAGCTTTGCCTTCCAGCTCAGCTCCCTCTTCACCAAGACGGTCCGGTGCAGCGCCTGCTTTACTGCTGCAGCCGCACCGATCCGCCTGTCGATCTCCCGCTCCATCTTACCCTCACTCGTGAACAAGACCCCGAGATACTTAAACTCCTTCGCTTGAGGTAGGCACTCCGTCCCCACCTGGAGAGAGCAATCCACTGGTTTCTGGCAGAGAACCATGGCCTCAGATTTGGAGGTGCTAACTCTCATCCCCGCCGCTTCACACTCGGCTGCAAACCGCCCCAGTGAATGCTGGAGGTCATGATCCGAGGAGGCTAACAGGACCACATCATCTGCAAACAGCAGAGAGGCTATCCCGAGACCCCCGAACCTGACGTTCTCCGCCAAGAGGCTGCGCCTAGATATCCTGTCCATGAAAGTCACGAACAGGACCGGTGACAAAGGGCAGCCCTGGCGGAGGCCAACACCCACCGGGAACGTGTCTGACTTATTACTGAGAATGCGGACACAGCTCCTACTGCAGTCGTACAGAGACCGGATCGCCCGTTGTAACGGGTCCGGCACCCCATACTCCCGCAGCACCCCCCACAAGAACCCCCGAGGGACCCGGTCGAAAGCCTTCTCCAAGTCCACAAATCACATGTAGACTGGTTGGGCAAACTCCTAGAACCCCTCCAGTAGTCTTGCGAGGGTAAAGAGCTGGTCCACTGTTCCACGGCCGGGACGGAATCCGCACTGCTCCTCTTGAATCCGAGGTTCGACAAGCATTCGGAGCCTCCTTTCCAGCACCCTGGCATAAGCCTTCCCCGGGAGGCTGAGTAGTGTGATACCCCGGTAATTCGAGCACACTCTCTGGTCCCCCGTTTTGAAGATGGGAACCACCACCCCGGTCTGCCATTCCATGGGCACTGATCCCGACCCGCATGCGACATTGAAGAGGCGTGTCAGCCAGGACAGCCCAACTATGTCCAGCGCTTTCAGCATCTCAGGGCGGATCTCATCCACCCCCGGCGCCTTGCCACCAAGGAGCTTTTTAACTACCTCAGCGACCTCTGCCAGGATATGGGTGAGCCTCCCCTTAGGTCCTGAGGCGCTGTCTCCTCTGCAGAGGACATGTTGGTCAGGTTTAGGAGTTCCTCAAAGTGCTCTTTCCACCGCCCGACAATGTCCCCCATCCGGGTTAGCAGTTCCCCCCCTGCTGAGAACAGCCTGGGGTAAGCCCTGCTTTCCCTTCCTGAGCTGTTGGATGGTTTGCCAGAACCTCCTTGAGGCCAACCGAAAGTCCTTCTCCATGGCCTCCCCGAACTCCTCCCATGCCCGAGTTTTAGCATTCGCGACCACCGCAGCTGCAGCCCTTCTGGCCTGCCGGTACCTGTCAGCTGCTTCAGGAGACCCCTGGGCCAACCAGGCCTTGAAGGTCTCCTTCTTCAGCTTGACGGCTTCCCTCACCTCCGGTGTCCACCACTGAGTTCTCAGGTTGCCGCCACGACAGGCACCGATGACCTTCCGGCCACAGCTCCTAGCGGCCGCATCCACAATAGAGGCTTTGAACATGGTCCATTCGGATTCCGTGTCCCCAACCTCCCTCGGGATGTGTGAGAAGTTCTTCCGGAGGTGGGAGTTAAAGACCTCCCGGACAAGTTTCTTACATGGGTTGTAATAGTTTGCAATCTAATCGTTCCTTCTCTTGTCCACATTTCAATCATCACATATTCCAGCTCTGTTCCTTTCTCCAAAACTTTAACTGTATTCCTTGTTTTATAAATATTATACACCCTCCTCCATTCCCCCCCCCCCCCTCTATCTCTGTGAATACTATCATATCCTTTAATAACTAAGTCTAATGCTGCTTTAAGCCAGGTTTCCTGAACACATATGATTTCTGGTCCTTTAAACTCTTGTCCATTAGCTAATAAGCTTCTTGCGTTCCATTGTAGTACAATCATACGGTCCTATCCACTGGGCCTCCTGGCTTCCCATCTTCTCAGAGTCTTTATGCTCCCAAGAACTTTCTTTTATCCCAAAAAATCTCTCAGCTCCCCTCACTATTACTTAGAGTTTCTCTGTTTTTTGTTCGACTTGGTCAGTACATACATATATGCAATAAACAGGATCAACACTGTCAGTGCTGTATTGGTTTCCTCGGACAGACTTGTCTCTACTCTCAGAACTTGTTTAGGTGTTTCATTCATTACTCTTTATCCTTGTAGCCTCTTCACAGCCTCTGCATAGCTGATGTTGTTTCCTGCTTTCACCTGTTGGATTTCCACCGCCCTCTTCCTGACTTCACATCCACCATATGTTACCCTGTGCTGGCCACCACCATTACAACATCTATCCTGTACATTATCCTTACACTCCTCCACTCTGTGACCCGCTCCACACTTGGGACATCTCTGCTTCCCTTTGCAAACTGCTGCTATATGTCCAAACCTCTGGCATAGCAGCGAAGCGGGGGAGGGACATAGGGCCTCACCGGGAACGAGGTACGGAGTCCTGAAACTCAACTGTTCTTTACAACCTCTTCATTCTGCTCACTTCTCCCCCATAAACACTCTGTTTGAGTTTGTCGAGGTCCTCGTCTACAGGAATACCTGTTGTCACTCCTCGTGTCTCTCCATTCTCACTCACAGATCTTTTTTCACTTATCATTTCCTTACAGACTTTCTATATCCATAGTTTTGTTTTTTTGTTCTTCCGTTTTACATATCATCAATAAGCTTCCGTCCCTCAAGACTTTAGCCATTTCCACTTCTCTGATCTTCTTTCTCAATTCTAGACAGAGCTATGGGGCTCAGACCAACATGCTCATCTTTCTGAAGTTAAGGATCATTTTAAATTCCTCCCTCACAATCTTCCTTCGAACAACTCTGTTTCCTTCATCAGAGCTGTTTCCCTCCAAGCTTCTCTTATTATTTTGACTCCCATTCAAACCTCCCTCACCCCTCCTGTTCTCTCCCGTCCTCCTCACCAGAGACTGGCTTCCAGCCATCACAACCCACATCATCATCCTCATCCATTTCCTGTTTGCGCCCCTAATCCAGTCACAAACCAGTTCATGCCAACCGCCAAATCAAAAAGTCCCAAAAGTCGCTTTCAAAACCAAATGATGAAACTTTTGCCGTTAAACAGTCACCAGCGAAGGCTATTGTTCCGTACTTCATTCATGCTCTGCGGAGAAAAGGACAAATTCACTTTTTTGTGGTTAATTGCAAACCACTGAGTTTGCTGTATTGGCTGAATGCTGAACGTTGAATGTGTCACTTGTTAGAAGTATTTGTGTTTATGAATGATAATTATTAACATGTTGAGAAATAATAATGATCAGAAACGGGAATCCACAGAAATGTTTAATTGTTCTTTGGTGGCTTCAGATGACTTTAAGCACTTGGGGACATTATAGTAGCCTAACTGGTGACCAATAAGACATTTGCTGCAGAGGAACAACAATCACCGCACATGTTGTGGCCGGCCCCAGAGGACAGGTTGAGATATAAAACATGGAGAGCTCAGAAACATGTATCTGCATCTAACTAGTCCTAGTTATACCACTAGCCATACATGACACAAATGTGACAGATTTATTCAGCTTAATAACTTAACTAAAACATCTTTTGGGAGAAACTCAACAGCTGAGAACTCATTAGAACACCAAGAAGCACAGTTACACTACATCACGTCATCATCTACCTATTGACACACACTCACACTGATGACAGGGCACCAAGGGACCCATCAGGACTAAACTAATTCACATTCACACACATACATATTGGAAGCAGTTTGGGGTTCAGTGGACATGGACACTTTAACATGCGGGGCATCGAAACACCGATCTTCCCATTGTAAGATGACCCCTGAGCCACAGCCCCCCCCCAGAGAACACAAAAACAGCACTGCCCTAACGTGCATGTTGTGAGTGGGCGTAATATTACTTAATGAATCCAAAACAATTACCAAAAACTTGGTTTATTCTGTACAGTGTGTAAGTTACACACTTTGACGCGAATCTCCACAAACAAGCAGAAGGTTTAGTGCATTTGCAAAGGAAATAGTGGCGGTCATATTTTACTGCTTTGTTGAGTTCACTACTGATTTTCACTGCTATACATATACACTGGTGCAGATATTTAAACTTTTCCAAAACATATTGAAGGTTTTGGACGGACATATGCATTCTCTAGGAGGAATATGAAGGTGTGTCCCCCTTGCTCTTACACCATGCCTTCTTGAGTTCTTGTCTTTCGGTAGATCATCAGTAGGTATACCATTGCAACGGGGAGGAGGGCGATGAATAGGAAGAGAACGCCAGCCCAGGGCCCTGGGGGCAGAGCCTTCATCAGTCCCAGTCTCTCTGCTGGTACCAGACTGCTCTGAGTCAGCATGTACCCCAGAGCCCAGCCTACAGATGCTCCTCCTGCCTGCAAAGACACACAAGGGGACCCACTGAAACCACAGCACACCATGGACAAGCCTTCTGATTTAGTCCAGCAGACAGTGCTGTCGACAGTAGTCCGTAGTTAGAACACAGACTGATAAATACAAATGTTTCATTGATTTCCTTTACTCCTGACCGTTTTCTGGAAAGAGATGGAGGGAAGGGAGTGCTCATCGAAACTGTAGCCCTGCAGTAAGAGGACCTGGACGAAATTGGAGACGGCGCAGATATTCTTCACGTATTTCATCTTCTGCTTCGTCTTTTGAGTCAGCTGTGAGGGGAAATACATTGGGTTAGCATTTATAGTTAGTTAGTGAGATCGTAACTTGCTTGATCTCGTCTCCCATCACTGTAGATATTTCTAGAATGATACATTGTGGATACATTGTGTTTGTTTCCCTTTTGAAACGAGTCTACTGGCCTATTTGGTGATTTTAAACATGAACATGTTTGAGAGTTCTTCTTCGTTAAGGTCCGTGCTCTCATGAGTACCTCAGTGATGGTCATGTTGCACATGAGTCGAATTGCCTCCTTCAGTCGACTGGGGGACGTCACGGGGATTTTGGTGAGCAGGTCGATGTAGTTATGATTGAGGAAGAAGGCAGAGAATGCCTGTGGAGATGATGGGAAACTGAGTCATTAGTTTTCAAACAAACATCTTGGAAAACATCCTGTTCGGATTGAAAGTCATTCAAATAATGAATCATATAATATAATAACAAAATAATTGACCGCAACTAGGATGGGGTACAAAATACTGCCATCTATAAAGGGCACATTCATAAGATCCCTTAGAATTCTGCTTCCAGGGGCTCCAGAGGGGCGGGGGCTGCAGTGGTCCAGATGGGAGATGACAGGCGCCTAGATCAGAGAAAGGACTAGACCCTTCTGATGTTGAACAGGAGGACTCTCTGATACTGCTGCCGTGTTTGATGAGAAAGATAATTCATCATCCAGGGTCACTCCCAGGTTCATGTCCGAGTACAGTCGATGGCAGGGCTCACAGTAGAGCTACCTACCGACACTAAGCGGTGCTTCGAGCTAAATGCTACTGTCAGCATGCTAATTGTCACGAAGACAATGGAAGCATGCTGCTATTTCACAGGTAGAACTCAAATGCAATGCTAAAATCCTCAGCAGTTGGTCATAAACAAATGTATTGAAAGAAATAATTATTAACCCTAACCCTTAACCTGTTAATTGGGTTGAATTACAAGTTAAGGGGTCACCAAAGCTATGGTTATTCATACTGAGGGAAATGTGGATGTCTGTACCGAAGTTGATGGCAATCCATCCAATAGTTGTTGAAATATTTCAGTTTGGACCAAAATGGAGGGCATTCAGATTAACATCCCTGCAGTCACGCTTCTAGCAAGGCTAACCAGCGTGGCTAACCAGCGTGGCTATAGCCAGATAGAACTGATTACATTGTGCCGAGCATTTCGAGTGTACAGGTCTTTGCTCCCTGACCGTATCCCATAAGGCTGTGCCTCCTCCAGGACACCATGCCTGTAGAGAGCACCGTCCTAATAACAGATGAGCTCGGACAACAGTCCCGTTCATTCCATGAGCCACAGGTCTGGTGGTGGGGTATGGATGGATAGAAGCCATACTCGCCACTAACCACTGACTATTAACAGAGAGTTTGTGACAGGACAGTTATTGCTGCAGGTTATATTGTATATGATCTTCAACAGCCTACTTGTATCCTGAAATGTACTGTTAAATAGGTATACAGTATGGACCAACATTGAAACTTTAACAACACTCAGATCAGCAAAAACGTTCAATGATGTAAGACTGAGAAATCCAAAAAGCAAAGAACACCACAAAGGAGAACATCAAATGTTTAGTCTAAGAGTAAGAACTACTGTTTGAACGTCTGCCTCACCATAAAGCTTCCGCTCACGTTGGGTTGGAAGATTCCATCAAAGGAGCACTTTGAGTAAGTGCAGTTGTCGAAGGAGAACAACTTTGTGATGTTGTCCAGGCAGCTCTGGTAGTCTCCTGTGCCCACTACTGATACATTCATCTGGGGGTCAAAGTGGGCTGGTCTGTAGCTCTGCGTACATGGAGAATCAAAGACATCCTTCCCCAGCTGGATGGATGTGTTGAACTGTTGTGGATAGCAGGGATGAGCCACCTGGGGCGTCACACCTGCAGTCTGAAAGAGACAAAATAGATCAAAGTCAAACATGTTTCAAGTATGACAAGTATAATTTCAAGTAAACTGGTAGAATAGATGAATATTCAGTGGCCAGCAGTATTTATACTCCCTATGTGCAATCAAAAGTTATATATTTCTATTATGTATTAGTTTTCTTTACGTTGCCAGCCTCAAAATATCAACTTATACAGTGTTAGGTTGTTGTTTTATAATGAGTATATATATATATGTATAATTATTATTAGTTTTAATCTTTTTGTAGAGAGTTTGATGAGAAGTTTGAAGCTGCCAGCATCGGGTTAGCTTAGCTTAGCATAAAGGCTCGTCTGTCTCTGCCCCACTGGGGCAAAATCTGCCAACCGACAAATGTAAAGCTCACTAATGAACACATTATTTATTGTTTGCCTAATTCATACAAAACCCAAAGTGTAATAATCTGTGTTACCAGACTATTTCTACTTCCTCCTGGAGTTCAGTCATCACTGTGAGATTGCCATCAGTGGAGACTCCAGAGAGGTACAGGGGTTGGTAGGTAGGCTAGCCGTTGCCCTGTTTCCAGTCTTTATGCTAAGCTACACGGCTGCTGGCTCCAGCTTCATATTCAAAGGACAGACATTAGAGTTGTATTGATCCTCTCATCTGCCTCTCTGCAAGAAAGCAACAACGCCTATCTTCCAAAATCTCACACTACTCCTTTGAGCAGGTTCGATGCGGCAGTTTGGTGGAGTCAGTGGAGTACACCCTTAGCCCTGCGCACTCTGCATCAAGCACCCTTGTTGTCAATTGTACTGCAGTCACACAGTGAATTTTTTATGAGCTCCAGAAATGATTTTATTGAGCTGATCTTGACCTCTGACCTCACAGTTGTCTAAGAGGAAACACAATCCTTAAGGAAGAAGCTGTAACAGTCATATGTAACTGTAGGCTTTAGACGTTTTAACTGTACCGTGATAAGATGAGCCAGCAGTCTTTTCAGGAACTGGTCTTGGCCGTAGCACAGGAAGCTCTGGGTGTATAGTCTGTAGGTTTGTCCGTAAAGCTTCAGCTCCATCACATTAGCCTCGTTCTCCACCGTTTCCGAGGTTTCAAAAGCAATCTGTGTGGAAGCTCCCCCTAAATCCAGAGCTCCGATCCTCTCTCTGCCTGGATTCAGCCATCGCCCTACAAAGCCGTACTGAATGGCAAGAAAAGGAAGGTCAAGGCATAACAATTTGAATCAATGGAGGAAAATAGAAATATTTCATGACTGAAAAGAGTTTAATCGGAGAAGAACATACAGCCAAGAATAACTTCCAGAGCCGCTCTGTGTGGAGCGTTTCAACCGGGCAACCAACTTGAATCTATGGCAATGTCAGTTGACAGACTGTCTGCAGTTGTCCGCAGCCACGCTACGCTACCAGTAGTCTTGATCTATTGCGCATGCGTTGAACCACGTGACAGTACAAACATGGTGTCCGCAGCTGTCCGTGTGTACATCTGTTTGGGAGTGTATCCGAGGCTTAGTGTTGGTGTTTGGGACAGCTGTAATATCTTGTGACGAGATTGGACGACAAGTCATTTGAATTATTCACTGAGCATATCACCAGTTTAAGAGCAACTCTACTTGTGTTCTCATTGTGTACTTAGTCTGTGTGGGTTCCCTCTTTCAGTTGGCAGGCCGTCTGCATCTGTTGCTTGTGTTCTTTGACGGATTTCTTGCCTGAGTTCCTCGTGCCATACTGGTCTGTACAAGTTCTGTTTTTGCCTTTGTACTTTCTTTGCCTCAGTCTGTGTTGCCTGTCAGTTTTGTTTTATTAAAGCTCACTTATAGTTTGATTCATCCTGCCAGCCTGCTGTCCTGTTAGAACTCAAACACCTTGTCAGAAGTTGTGTACCCCTTTGCTCCCCTGGTCAGCAGGTCTGGCTCCATGTACCGTGGCAACTTCTTCTGTTGTTGTGACACGTGTGTTGCACAAGTCAAACACTTTAACTTCCTCCACAATGACGTTTTAATGTAACAGTGTTTGTGACGTTCTGTGTGTTGAACTGAAAAGTCAAAGCTCACCTTCACAAAGTTTTCAAGTAGGTAGTTGACTGTGACCCAGCCATATGCCGCCTCCTGCCGTCCGCTCAGGATGGTTGCCTCTTTGAAATTGAAAGGGTAAGACCGCAGTTTGCTCTCCACTTCCTGCAGAACCCACTGAGACTCTGTGGCATTGACTTCTCTTTACAACGTAGTGTGTTGAATGGGGAATGAAATATATATTAAGTTATTCCAACGAAGATCCATTTCAATGCATTCATGCATCATTGATGAGCAGTGTGGTAGAAATATTAGTGCGATATCCTGTCTTAATAGGAACTTAACTTACTTCAAGAGTCTCATGCCTGCAGTAGCTCCCATGCAGAGTGAAGTTTGGTGGTGCCTGGGTTTGGGGATATCCTTCACGGCTCGTTCCAGGCAGAACTCCAGACTTTTGGCTGCACCACCAGGAAGACCTGCATAGCTGGATATCCCTCGACCTTACCAGAAAGAGAAGTTATTTTGGCTTGCCTGACCTCAGAAACTGAACTTCCTCGTCTTAAAGGATAAGTGAGCTTCTGACAAAACAGGCTCTGGATGGCGTTTCTAAGGGAACTCTGAAAACAAACAGAAACAACTGAGGAAGTAGCTAAGAAGGCTCAAACACTATGGTGAAGAAGTGGAGCATGAAAAGGTCATTGGATGAGTTTCTGTAGAACTATGTGGAAGTGAAAGTGAGACTGGCTTTAGCACTAGGACAGTATGGGGTAGAAGGGTCTGTTCAGGTACCTCACGTACCTCCGGTCGTACCAAGCTAAGCACACACTCTTCACTTCACTTGACCAGGTTTTTGAATGTCTTGAGATTTGTCTTGGAGGTGAATGTCATTTTTGATTATTGAATTTGCAAGTTTAAACATTGTGAACACTACAAGTTTCCCTGCATTATGGCATACTTATTTTGCCCTGAAGAAGACGAGCTAACTACAACTAGTTCTGCCAATAAAACGCAGACTTGACCACCAGCATCTTGTTGTCAGTGTCAGCTTCAAGCCTGCAGGCAAACCTGGATTCACAGCAGTGATGCAGAGTCAGCTATTCCAGCCTTCTCACACCCACTGGGAGGAGCTCACCTGCTACAATACACTCGCTGTGCTGGGTAACAATACCAGTGCCATTTTGCTTGTCATTCGGCCATTTGTAGATGTACATGGTGGTGCGGGATGAGCCGGCATCCAGAACAATTCCGTACTGAAACAGACAAAGCATTACATGTCAGAAAAGTACAGCATGCCTCCATATCTCACTTTAGCTGTTGAAAATGCTGCTCAAAAGTAACCATTATATATTGCTTTGCTCATATGTCATATTGATATGACATCTGGAATATCTCAGTGCATCTCTGATAGGTTCACTGACTACACAGGTAGAAATGTGTGAAGCTTCAGTAACTGTGGTATTGAGAGGATGTGACTCTAGTCTCCAGTGAATCGTCTGTTTCTCATTATGGCCATTTATGGTTGAACTCATTCCTTTTGCTAACACATTTCCTGTCATGAGACTAAAGAGTACAGGTTTACTGATTTGCGATGATGAATGGGTGATGTTATGTATTGTGGTGTCTTAATTCATTCAGCAATGTTGACTTTGTCTCCCTTTGTCTGCTCTATTTCAATGTCAACTTCAAAGCATCAAGTTCTATTCAAGCATTATTCTGTAAAGGATAAAAGCAGCACAAATGAGATCATTTCCTATACCCTTTTGAAATCAATTTCAAAGTCTTTATGAACAAAAGGAAGAGCACATGAATAATGTTCTCTAAATGAATCTCAAAAAAAGCACAAACCTCACATCTTTTGTTTCTTTCTGTCTTGTCTTGTTTCTGCAAAGCACCTTTTAATTATTCAGGCTAACATCCATCGCATGGCGGGAATGTGCTGAGCTACATTTTAAAATAGTATCGTATAACACTATTACATTGGAACACCTTTTTAAACCGTGGACCCCAATCTAAAGTTTCTTATCTTCCTGTAACTTGTGAATAACTCTGTGTACATCACTAAAGAGCCTGATGCAGAGACAGAACCACGGTGCAAATCATGGTGAGTGTACTGCAGAGGAAGGCTTGAACAGAAATATAGGATGTTCTCCTCAGAAAGTCACCTTCAGCCAAAGAAAATTACAATTTTTGTTCAGTCCATAATACAGTAAAGATTATGAGATGAGTGCAAAACTTCAATCATTCTTTCATTACCGTGTTTTCAGGTGGTGTCTGCATCTCTCTAGCTGGAAGGACCACCAGCAGAATCCCAACTATTGCCAGTACAAGCAGCCCCAGGGCAGGGATGGTGTGGCAGCAGCGCAGAGCCATTCTGGAGACTGTTTGCTCGGACGGCCCTGACAGCTCTGTATAAAAGTGCGTGAGCACTTAATGCCAGTAAGGAAATAAAGGGCGGGCACTGACAAATTGACAGCCAGTTGTCTCAAATTGTTTGGTAAGATGTACCACTTCCTGTCACCCCTGCACGCACCCTTGTGCACAGAGAGTCTAATGGATGTGTTTGAGATTGGGCTGTTTTGTATGGAGCCCCAACGTGTCATTCAGACATGAATAATCACATCAATACATCCTGTAAATGAAACAATACTTTCTTTAGTCATTTATTTATAATCTATAATAATTATCACTTTCAGTTTTCAGAAATCATTTTCAAACATTCTTTTATTTCAAAATGTCATTATGCAAAAGTCTTTTAGTAATTCACAACGGCATATCATATGTTCTAATGACATATTCAATCCTCTCTAAGCTTTCAGTATTATTCAGTATTTCTATACTAGAATCAATGAGATATCAATATAACATTACGGATGATATGACATTTCATAACAACAGGTCATTGTTACAATGTTAAAGTCACTTCAGTTCCTCTTCAGACCCCCCCACATAGACTTAAGACCCAACATCATATTAAATATGTGATATTGCGTTTCAGCTGCTGGACAAACAATACTTCAGCAAACATTTGTCGATTGTATGTAGTTGCTACAGAAATATAAAAGAGAACAATAGCCCATAAAACAGCTGGCAACCAACAGATTTAATGCTGACGGCTCATTTAGTGGAATTCTGTTGACATCATTGAAAGCGACGAATCCCAACAGAAGATGTGTGATGAGGATGTGTCAACTGTTCAGCAGCCTGCCGGCCTGTGGAGGGAAGCTGTCACAGAGACGCTGCGTGTGATTCGATGGTAACGTGTTTTACATGGAAGCAGTGAGAACAGAGCGCTGCTGGTGTCCTTCATGATGTGTTGTGCTTTCCTTCTGCAGCAAGTGGTGTAAATTATGAAGTGGAGGTACTTCTGAGCCAATGAGAGTTCCTGCTGTCTTTCCAGTCCTCAGCACTCAGCTGGCCAACCACACTGGGGCACTCTCGATACCTTTCTGTTGTAGTTTAAAGCGATCCCTCCTAAACCAGCTCAGTGCCACGGCTGCAGTGTAGAGATATAAGCACGGTGGCAGATCAGCTGGTTACAATGGTCTTCTTTGACTCCAGGTCATCTTAGTCACAAGAAAGTGGTAAAGGACACAATAATGATGTTCGCCAAAGAACCGAGAACTAGAAAACACTTTTCAGATTTCAGTCCCAGAACTCTATTACACTTTTCATTTTTGTTTTTAAACCGTAATTATTTTCCACTTTTCAAAACTTCCCACGATCAATAATAATGAATTCAGTCACGTATATATTATTCTGAAATGGGCCATTCTGCATATTGAGTTATTTTACTTACCTACTTAAGTACATTTTGATGCTAACACATTTTTACTTTTACCTAGCATTTTGAAAAAATGATTTTTACCTGCATGTACATGTATGTTTATGCTGTGAATGCCAGGGGCTTGACTACTCTGATTCTTCATTATTTATTTGCCATTTTATGGAGAGATATTGCCAGAAATTCCCCTTTTAGTTTCTTAGTTGTGAGGATTTGTCTTGTGTCAAAGTAAGATTGAGTTATTTTTCTTTTAGATCTTTGACTGTTTGACGATGGTGTGCTGAGGTCGATTCCTAGCTGCCTCCAACATTGATATTTAAGTGCTTAGTCTGCTACAACTTCCACTATTTATATTACATGTCTTCTATTTCTTCCCCTCTTTTTTGCTCCAACCAAACGTGGATGTAAGAGCCATATGAGACTTGATAAGATGTCTTAAGTGATTTGTGTAACAAACATGTGGAAATGCTCCTTTAGTTGCTCTTTTCGGAGATGTTGTGGAGAGTTACCAAGCCACAAAAGAAAAGGATAAAACTACAACAGAGAGAACCATCAGGAAAACTGGTCAAAGCGAAAGCACCTTTGCTACAGGTGTACAGGATACAACCTCGGAGACAACAGCACAGAAAAGCAGCCCAGTAAAGGATATTGTTACAGCTTTCCACAAGCCATGTTTATTCTGTCAGAAGGACCATGCTCTGTCTGTCTGCGATAAGATTAAAGAACTGATGAACAGAGAACGGATAGACTTCCTGAAGTCTAAAGGTCTTTGCTTTGGATGCCTTACACTGGGGCACCTTAGTAAATATTGCAAAAAGAGAACGAAGTGTCAGACCTGTTCTCAGTGGCACCCAGACATACTCCATGTCATTAAAGATGACAATGCTGCACCAGAAAGAGTTGAAGAGAGCAATACTGAGAGCAACGCTATCTCAAGTGCCTATGTGTCAATGGGTCAAGAGTCATGTGGAAGTACTGGGGCTGGAGAAGGAGAATGTGTTCTAGCTGTGGTACCAGAAATCCAGAAAGAGTGAAAGGTATGTAGAAACATACGCCTTCATAGATCCTGGGAGCACTGCAACCTTTTTCACTGAAGAGCTACAGAAAACACTAAACCTTAAAGGAAAGCGTACCCAGTTTCTTCTCGACACTATGGGTCAAGACAATTCTAATAGTCACAAGTTGATGAGGAGTTGTGTTCTTTCAGACCTAGAAGTTTGTGGAATTGAAGAAAACACATACATTGAACTGCCAAAGGTGTTTACACACAGCCACATCCCAGTAAAGAAAGAAAACATCCCACAACAGGAAGATATTGCGCAATGGCCTTACCTGAAAGACGTGCATCTCCCGCGCATTGAAGCAGAGGTTGGTCTGCTCATAGGTGCCAACATCCCAAAAGCCATGGAACCATGGCGGGTCATAAATAGTGAAGGTGATGGGCCATATGCTGTCAAAACTGCTCTGGGATAGTTGATCAATGGACCTCTCAGAAAGGGAGAAGACCTTAAGACAGCCAGCGGTAAACTGCAGAGCTACACCGCTAATCGCATCTCAGTGGTGGAAATAGAAGAATTGCTAGTGAAGCAGTACAATACAGATTTCCCAGAAAAGAGCTGTGAAGAGAAGGAAGAAATGTCTCAAGAGGATCGCCAATTCATGCACCTAGTTACAAGGTCAGCCAAGGTGGTTGATGGACATCACTGCATGAGTTTGCCACTGAGAAGTGAAAACATCAGAGTGCCAAATAATCGTTGCATTGTTCAGCAGCGGGTTGATACTCTCAAGAGAAAATTCAAAAGAAACCCAGACTTCCATGAAGATTACAAGACCTTCATGAAAAACATAATTGAAAAAGGCTACGCCGAGAAAATACCCACTGAGCAGCTCAGTCGCAGTGACGGCGGAGTGTGGTACATTCCTCACCACGGGGTGTACCACCCTAAGAAAAAGAAGAGAAGAGTAGTCTTTGACTGCACTGCTACATATCAGGGAATGTCACTGAATGAGCAGTTACTCCAAGGACCCGACCTCACCAACACACTAATTGGTGTCCTGTTAAGATTCAGAGAGCATCCAGTGGCAACAAAGGATCTGGCAGACAGCCTAGTACAAGACCTCCAAGACTTGTGCTCAAGAGGAGGTTTCCATCTGACTAAGTAAGTGGGTGAGCAACAGCAAGACAGTCTTGTTGTCTATCCCTGACAAAGAAAGAGTTCCTGGAGTGAAAGACCTGGACTTAGGTCACAACACACTTCCCATGGAACGTGCACTTGAGGTTCAGTGGTGCACAGAGACCGACAACTTCAGGTTCCAGATGCATGTGCAAGACAAGCCTGTGACTAGACGTGGGATCCTGTCCACTGTTAGTTCTATTTACGACCCTCTTGGGTTTTGGCCGCCACTCATGTTGCCAGTGACGATCATCTTGCGAGACCTGTGTAAAAAGAAGCATGCCTGGGATGAAGAGATAGAAAATGGACAGACAGAGGTGGCAGACATTACAGAGGAACTTTGTGCAAGAATATATCATTTTGATAATGGATGAAACTGCTTCTGGCAACTACTGGATCATTGGTCGTGTAGTAAATATATTACCAGACTCCAGTGGAACAGTCAGGCGAGTTAGTGTGAAAACCAACACACTGGACAGACCTGTAAACAAACTCTGCCTGCTGAAGCAAGCAGTGTAAACAAGTAGATCCCAAAAAGTGGATGAAAGACTCTGGATACAGTTTATTTATCTTTTGCATATGATGTGAACATGACTATGGATGCATGTTGAATGTTTATGGCTCCTTTTGTAATTAATATTTGGTAATTGTTTTGCAGCCAGCATAAGCAATTAGGGGCTGGTATAAGAGCCATATGAGACTTGATAAGATGTCTTAAGTGATTTGTGTAACAAACATGTGGAAATGCTCCTTTAGTTGCATTACTGACTACATCACAGCCAACAGCCCTCAGTTGAGGGCTTTCTTTTGAGCAAAGAATGTATCTTGTAACTTTATTTTGTTGAGTAAACCTTTTTAAATGAAGCTACTGCCTACGAAGATTCATTACGCGTCAAGCTTATTGCCAAACCCAGACTGTAACAGTAGTGGTAATGTGGACTATCGGACGGAGGGAAGATTGCCGCTACAGTGGCTTTCTTTATAAGGTTAAAATGTCATGTTATTGTCATTGTACAACAAACAACCAAACACAGACAAAAATAACCTATTTATATGTGGAGGGCGGGGGATGATTAAGGAGTCTCTCTGAAGTCTGGTGGTTCATCAGCTCATGCTTCTGTATCTGTGTTCAGACCGCAGCAGAGTAAACAGGATGTGGCTGGTGTCTCTTCTCTCTCCCCACCGGCTCACACCATGTTATGCAGCTCTGAAACCTTGCAAAGCAACTCATATGCAGATGAATTACAGTATGATTACATTCTTTCTAAGATGAAAACAGGTATTGGTGGCAGTTTATAATGTCATGGGTAGTATCTCCTTTCTGAGACCTTGTGGTCTTAACCATATACATCCACTAGAGTGTGCTATAGTCTAGTTTCTGAAAGGCTTTTACAGGACAGAGAATTGACTGTTTTCAAGTTCTCCTAAAATATTTTGG